ATTAAAAGTTCTATTGTTGTCCAAAGCAAGGCAAAGCCTTATGAAAAATGTTGAAAAACAACGACAGGTTTTGCATGTTTTAGACAGAATTGCTGCAGCAGTGAAATAACGAAATATTGAAATATCATGTAAGGGTAAAGAGAGCCAATTTTTGCGATCATTTTATCATTGATGTTCAGTTTACAGGCTTTACAAGACGAGATGTGGGGCGATCAAGTATCGGTTATATCTTGTGATATGAGGCATTGGGAAGCCCCGGAAAAAGCCGATATTATTGTCAGTGAATTGTTAGGGTCATTTGGGGACAACGAACTGTCACCAGAGTGCCTCGATGGTGCTCAAATATTCTTAAAAGGTATTGCTTTGTTTGAATATCATTAGTCACTATTAAAATAGAATATAACTATAGTACGTTGTTCACTTGTGAAACAAATTTGAACAACAAACTCTGTTACTTTGCTGCGTTTTCCCTGGTGAAATATGAACATTTTACTACAATTTTGTAAGAAATATGTCTGTTGTTTTTGTTTACCTGTGTGTTTATCCAAATTATTAAGCACATGTTATTCATGTGTCATCATGATTCATACTTATTCATGTGGATGAATGAAATAAATGATTAAATATTTGTTTAAACCAAATTAGTACAATATGTACAAACTGTATTTTGCAAGACACATTTTTGCAAATTCTGCTAAGCAGCAAAAATCATAAAATTTTTTAACTGTTAAGACAACAAGTTACAAAGACTTTTGTGGAATGTCATCATGACTGCCCATTATAATATTCTGATATTAACAGCGTACACTGTATTACACAATCTGAACTGACTATAAACATCGACAAATATATTAAAGGTGATTCATGGCCGGAATTTGTTTTTTTCTTCAGATGACGGTATAAGTATTCCAAGACAATATACATCGTATTTATCACCAGTTTCTTCACATAAATTATATAATGAAGTTAGACTATGTAAAGATAAGGATAAACATCCCGATGTGAGTAATATTTTGGATTTATTATTTCATTTATCACCTTGACAATGAAAATCTTTTTATTACTGTATT